TTACTGATATGACAAATAGCATGCATGAATCATGATTATTTGAAGTGTGACACCGTTTGATAGCTAGAAAAGTACTATTGCCACAACATTAGAAAGCAAGTTGAATCTGAAAAATATATGATTAACATACATAATCACCATTTGATTGGTTGAACTATTGATATGGAGATTTTCAGTTGGCACTTAGTGCCTAGCAAATTTAGTGGCCTAGCTAGGTAATGTCAAATAGATTAGACAATGAAAGTCACTTGACATATAATATTTAACATGGAACAAGAATTTCCACGAAAGCTAATATGATAGCACACGGAACTAATCAGAGATATACATGCATGATTTATCCTTAATTTCTAAGAACGTACAGAGAGGTATCATATCAAACTGTCACTACTCTAAACTTTTAAAGTTCCAATAAATGGCCCAATTCTTTGCATCTAAGTAATCATAGAGCATATGGTATTTTTAATTGAAAAGTAGATACAATCATCTACAGGCTGATTATTTTGCACATTTTTGTAGCCATCACTGTAAAGTATAAGGTACACACCTAGGCTCTCATACGTTTTTCTCCATTTTTGTCTTTTAGGGATTAGAGTCGTCTTCCCACACTATTGCATATATGAAAGGGAAATACTGTAACGCCCTCCGGAATTAAACTTGTTTAATTATGATAATTGTGATTTATTAGTGTGTTTAAATTTATTTTCTTAATTAATCATGAGCTTTTAAATTTATTTTTAGTATTTACAATACTTCCACTTTTTTTTTTTATGGGACTTTAGTGGTAAGAAATAGTTTCATCGGAAATTAAATTTTGTTGGACACACATCTAACTAGTTGAGTTAGCCTCAAATGGTATTTTAAAAAATAATCGAATCTCAAATATTAAATGATGAAAAAAATAATATTGTGAACTGTTAAAAAAAAAAAAAAAAAAAAGAGTTCAGTTGACAATTTTTATTAAATTATTATTTAGTGGCTGAGAATTGAATGCATATTTTATACATCTCCAACTTTTGGATGTACCATATATTTTGTACTATACAAATTGCGTTGTCGATCGATGAAGCAATCTCTAGACATGCTTTCAAGGATAAGCAAACAAAATATCAATAAATAAAAGCAATCTACATCTACACTTTAGATACATATATTTAAATAATATATATATGTGTATATATATATTCACTTTCCAAAGGAAAGCACTAGAGATAACTATTACAACTTCAACATTCCAATGCATTGAGCTCTTCTGTGGAAAGGCAATTGGTCCGAATACAATGTTCCCCATATGGGGTTTCTGTCAAAAGGACTTGGAATTGAGGAGTTTTATCAAAGTGACATACAGAGAAAAATAAATTACAAGAGAAATAAGGATGGTATATTAGACTCTAAAAATACGTCATCAGCCCCGGGATGGGCCAATTGTTGTGTACTTTAGTATCCACGATCATGAAAAGTGTTGGTAGTAAATGACATACAAAATCTACTAGTTTGATCATGACCAGCCTGTGCTAAAAGTATTATCATGGGAGGGAAAACTTTTGCTTCCAGCTAGTGTAGGGATCATGATGAATATTACAGTAGGGCCAATTAGCCACTCTATGATTTTGTCCGACTGCTGGAATTCAAGCAATGCAGCGGAATTGAAGATTTGACACCATCATATGCAAATGCAGACTCCATCATTGGCAGTGGATGATGGTGTTAAATCTTCAATTCCGCTCTATTTCAGCAGTCGGACAAAAATCATTAAATGACTAATTGATCTTACTATAATACATATAATATATATATATATATGTCAATTAGTCACTTAATGATTTTTGTCCGACTGCTGGAATCTAAGTGATGGAGCAGAATTGAAGATTTGACACCATCATCGACTGCCAGTAGTGGGCCTACATTTGCATATGTATGGTTTCCTCAGAGGAACTAGGTTTTTCAGAAAAGACGTGTTTAATTATTTTGTGCAATGTTTTGGTTGATGAAAAAATGTTAAAATCATAATGTTTTGTTGAAATAGTAGAATGAAGATGGGCCAAATATACTTTCAAGAGCAAATGGACAAATCTGATATAATAAATGAGCTTTATATACTACTTTAATGGACCAATTAATTAGTCATGTCACAGCACAAAGACTTTTCTACATAATCTGATATTAATATAGCAGCTTAAGACTTTTTGGTGGAACTATATAGTTTCTTAAATAGCTATATATATATATGTATGTATGTAAGACGAAGTCTTTTATCCTAATGTCTTCACAGTAATTATAATAGGTTTGACAATATTGTCGGCATATTAACTAGCGATTTTTAATATTAGAATATCTTTTGAAAAGCAATGTCATATGTATCACCTTGTACACATGATCACTATAATTTGTTTCACTATTAATCACATTCAAAATGGATATTATTCCATAATATATAAGAACTTACATAGTTGTTTTATATAGGATATTCTATCATTCAAGCGATTAACATGTTAAAATAAGTGTGTGTGTGTGTATATATATATATATATATATATATATATATTTGGTGAGTTTGTGTAAAGCAAACTTTGTACTTCCCTGCTTTGAAAGTTCCCATGTTCTTTGAAAGACGAAGAAGAAAACAAAGGCTGGCCATAAAGCAACACTCATTTTTACAGACTGAGAGCTGATGTAGCTAATTCTTTTACCGATAAAGAGACAACAACAGTACGAAACACATAAGAGAGAAAGAGAAACAGCTGATCTATCATGTGTTACTTTAATGGATTTACTATTCCATATGATAAAGTATACTCAAGTACTATAGAACTATATATCATCATCATCATCATGATCAGTAAAACACTGAGAACTTTAGATTATAGGGCAAGAATATATTATGCGCTTTTGATAATATGCACAAATACCACAGGACACTTTTGATGGTTTCACGTTGAAGTTGCAAGATTTTAAAGAAAAAGAAAAAAAAGAAAAGAAAAGAAAACGTTAATCAAGCTAGGGTTATGGGAGACACAGTGATGATCAAAACGTTTACATAAAGAGTGGTGTGGTGAAGGGGAATGCTGGCATGTCATGCGCACATTAATGGCCGACATGGCCTATCTCTTCGGTAAGGCCTGTGCACCTGTCGTTATTCATAGACAAAATATTTGTGTGCAAAGTACAACAAATGATTTATTTCCTCTATGATCTATCAATAGGCCAGTGGGAAGATGATATACATCGTAACTCGTGGTTTGCTTTTATCGTGATTTCATCGTCTATCATGCATCTTTTCCTTTTCTCAATTGTACATGTTTGTTTTAAGCCAGGTTTAGGCCACTAGGTACCTAGCTATTTGCCGCGTATGTAAACCTATACATTATCACCAAATTGCTTGATTTTCAGGGTCCTTCAGTCATAGGGTTTCATATCAATACTACATGTCTTTATTCCTTAAATCTGTATCAAATCATATTAAAATTAAAAAATATACATAATAAATATTTTAAAATTAAATTCGACGATTGAAAAACAGAATCCTATGTATTTAATTTCCAAATTCTATCATAAAAATCTCCTTATTAATTTTCAAGTGGAAATCAATTAAAAAAAAAGTTGGATGAAAACTATGGTGCATGATGTACCCGTTAATATATGATGGAGACAAACACTCGCAATGTCAAAGAGAAATTAGGTGTCAGAATATTTTAGCTAAAACAATTTGTGCGTTGATGTTAAAAACTCGTCAACTAACTTCTTTTGATTTGTGAAAATGTGGTACGGAATCGGGAATACTATTGATAACATGTAGCCGAGTCTTTTCTCATATAGCGACATTAGTTTTTACATATTCATTAAAGAATATTCCCATTACTTTTGCATTAATAAATTACACGACATAAACACCAATTATAGTTTTATATAATTTTGTAGCTAGTGACTTCATATATGCAGTTCTTTTTCTCCCTTTTTTTTTTTTTTTTTTTGCTGAATATGTACGATAATAATTAGACATGCGTGTATAAGGAGTAAACTAATCAAACCTAAGGGGTTGCTTTGACTTCTCAGTAATTAGATCCATATACATTGTATATGAAGGCGAGATATTATTGCAGATTACTTTTAATAATTTACAGTTTAACACACACACAGTACACGTACGATTTCTTTGTTTGTTTTTTTTTTTTTTTTTTCGTTTCTCAATAAACTTTTGCATATGTAGCTAAAAGTTCAATCCAGTTGAAATCCATCGTAAGAATCTGTCGGATATTCATTGGAACAACACTAGAGGCCTAGAATTCGACAAGGACTAACAATGGCAGGCAAAATTAATCTCATGACGACACCACCAAGCAATAAAGTGTAGAAATATTATTATATTTCAAACTTACAATTAACGACCAAAAAAAAAAAAAAAAAAAAAAGAGTACTACTTGGCCAGCAAGAATGGGGTTAAGTATGCTCGCGGATAGGCAGCTAAGTGGCGCCTACAAGGAAAATGGAGACAACCTAGAAAAACCAGCTTTTACTACCACATATCACACATCATAGACAATCTGTCTAATCTTTCCCCCGTTTTTCTCGGGCTACAATTTCCATGATAATTTATAGATATCCTCGTGATATATGCCCCACCTAGCATATTAACTAATCTATGATGATCATCATTTAGGCAATATATATATATATATATATAAACATGATCTTGTTATTGGGTCCTGGACCCTTTAAAACCCGACACGTACACTACTCTAGCAGTTCCACACATTACGCAAGTGGGGGGAAAAAAAGGTATATATGGGGTACACTGAGTTTGCCTATAAACATCACATGTGCGAAATGCATATCTACATAGAGTGGTCTGTTATATAATCACATTTCTTTAAAAGAAAATATATATATAAATTGACTTTTAAAGCTGTCTTTGGTGAACTTTTTTACAACTTAAATGCCCGAAACCAAAGCAAACGAATGTGGGACATCTATATGACATAATTTTGCGCACTCTTTGCAATATCTTTTAGTTGGTTATACCCTAGATGCTTTGCTACTGCTAAATATGGTACGTGTTTTTTTTTTTTTTTTTTTTAAAAAGGATAAGAGAGAGCCAAAGGGCAAAAGCATAATGATAAGCTCTAAATAGTGAACATATATTGCATTACACAACGAAATCTCTCAAACTAGTCCCCTATAAATACAAGGAATTATATAAGTACTCCTCAAAATACAAACTCACACACAAGAATATTTCGAGTCCTTAGACACCATACCACGCAAATATCATGTCCGATCACAGGAATCCCAGCTCAAGCCTTAAGCTATTCGGTTTCCCGATAACCGAGAACGGTGAAGTGGTAGTGCCGTCGACGGAGCAGAGAGCGGAGCGAACATCATGGGAAATGGAGAACAGGAAGTTCAAGTGCCAGTTCTGCCGTCGCGTGTTTGCGAATTCGCAAGCTCTCGGTGGCCACCAAAACGCGCACAAGCGAGAGCGGCAGAGAGTCAGCGCTCAGTTCCAGGGCCGGCCAGTCGTCGGCCCAGTTCTTAGCCCACACGCGGTCAGATCGTCGGCCGCTACCTCTATTTACGCATCGAGATTTGCAGCAAATTATTGCAATAGTAATGGCATTATTAACGGTAATTATAACAATCCGTCGTCACAGGAAGTACTACCGACGTATAGGACATTTCCTTCGCAGTACTACAACTGTTTGGTGTCACGGCCAGTACTACTACAGCAAGAATTGGCCACCAAACCTGAAGTTGGGGTTGATCTTCACCTCAAACTCTCTCTTTCTGGTTAAATCAATAATGTTTTTTTTTTTTTTTTTTTTTGGCGTTCTTGTTTTTATTATTGCTTGGGATGCCTTCAATTTTCGGCAATATTTATAAATTATAATAATATCAATATGTGGACAAGGAAAAAGAAAAAAAAAAGTTCAACTTCAATAGTTGACAAACTGACGCTTAATTGATGTTCTTGTTTTTTTCTTCTTTTTTCTTCTACTTTTGTATGATGTTTGATCATTTTGGGTGTAGAGGCATTGATTATAGTTTCAGTATACTAATGAGAACGGCATGTGATCTGAGAGTGAGATTTTTACGTCGTACGACAATAACATAGGAATCATTGCGTATAACATGGAATCATTTGTAACGCTTTAAACCGAAGAAAGCAAGTAATAAATTATAATATAGTAGAAAGAAAACAGTTTATTTGGAACAACGGAATCATCGCCTAAGCTTGTGCGCTAATAAAGAAATAACAATAACGTAATAATCCTTATCATTAATGCATGATTATGTCATAATCTTCTCTCTTTTGCTTTTCGGGAAAGAAATAGCTTAAATTGTTAAATGTTAATATTGCTTTAATCGAGCACCAAAAAAAAAAAAAATTTACGAGCTGAAGAATGAATGAAGACAAAGTTCCGCCCAATAAAAGGAACGGCAAAACCGAGGCTGTCCACGACCAAACCAAACCCAGAAAAAAAAAAAAAAAAAAAAAAGTCTTTTTTTTTTATAATATGAAGCTCAAGTACAGACAGTGGAGTGCAGAGATCATGCGAGAACTCCTCAACACCTTCGAAAAACTTGAAAACTAAGACGTAATTTTAAATTCCAAATATACCCTCGGTTCTCGAAAGCCCTCTCCGCCTTTAAAAACCCTAATTTCTGCCCCCAATTTTCTCTCCTCTACTTCTCCATCAACAGCACTGAATCTGTAATTGCCGCCTCTGGTAATGGAAGGGTTCGGGTTGGGCTGCGAGAACTCCTCAACACCTTCGAAAAACTTGAAAACTAAGACGTAATTTTAAATTCCAAATATACCCTCGGTTCTCGAAAGCCCTCTCCGCCTTTAAAAACCCTAATTTCTGCCCCCAATTTTCTCTCCTCTACTTCTCCATCAACAGCACTGAATCTGTAATTGCCGCCTCTGGTAATGGAAGGGTTCGGGTTGGGCTCACGGTACGGCGGATGCGACCGCAGACACGAGATAGGAGCGGGAACCGGGCCCACTCGCCCGATCCGGGTCCGGACCCGCCTCGCGCGTCGCAGGCGAGTCGGGGCGATTCGAAACCGTGGAGCTTCAGCGACCCGGAGGCGAAGAGGAAGAAGAGGATCTACAAGTACAAGGCGTACACGGTCGAAGGCAAGGTCAAAGCTTCGCTGAGGAAGGGCCTCCGTTGGATCAAGAACAAGTGCTCTGAGATCGTTCGCGGATATTAATTTGATGGAAAGTTGCGGTCATGATTGTGCCACGTGTACTTGGTTGCCGGACGGTGGACCCCGTGCTAATGAGGAGAGAGAGATCTGGATTTGGTAATCACTGTGAAAAATGATTAATTATTATGCTCATTGCACTGTAGAGCTAGAAAAGAGATTGTTTTTGGTGGATTTTGATTTTTTTTTTTTGTTAATATTTAGTTCTCGTTTTTTTTTTTTTTTTTTTTTTTCCTTTTGGACTGAAAAATGACCTGATATATTGAGGAAATCGAATGGATTCATTTAAATTTGGACAAACAATGGGGTGTCAATCTTGTGTGTTGGGGTTTATTTGGTTGAAGGGTTCAGATTTTTTTTTTATTTTTTACAAAATAAATATTGGTTTAAACCCGAATCTGGATTTAAACATCTTGAACCCTCCAACCGACTCCTTAAGTATGAAAAGTGAAGGCCTCAGCCATCTCTTTGGCGAGACAGAGAGTTTTTAATGAAAATAGTTATCATTCTCGTTTTTCTTTTTTTTTTTTGGCTAGAAAATGTTCATTCTTGTTTTGATTTTAGCTAACCTGATCCCTTATTGTTATTATTCTTGAAAGGAATTCCTTATTATTTTCTCCGTATGAATGAAAAGAAAAAATAAGAGAGAATCAAATTTACTAGAGTATAATTTTTACTTAATATTTTTTTAACTAATATAATTATTTAATTAAAAAGATATTACTCCTTTCACAATAAAAAATAAATAAATAAACAGAGAAAAAGAGAAGGGTTTGACCCATTTCGCTTCCTAAAGCCCAAAAGTTTGCAGCAATGGTAGATTGGGTTCAACGTAAAATTTTCTGGCCCAATAGTAAGAGTCTTTGACCAACTAACTGCACTATTCCTTACATTTTTTTTTTTTAAGGAAATAGGCTAATATGAAAAGTTTAAAAAAGTATATAGGTTAATTTTTAGTTATAGAAATTAATAGGTCATAATTTATCAAATTATGATTCATAACCAGATAAGTTATTGACAAATTTGTCAAGTTATGGTTCATAGCCAAACAAGTTATGGACAAAAACTGAGAATAACTTGTCAAGTTATGGTTCATAACCAGATAAGTTATGGGCGAAAACAGTAATTTAGCCTATTTATTAACTTATGTAAACTATTAGCCTATTAATTTTAATTCATCTCAAGTCTTTGCCCATTTCTCTCTTTCTCCCTTTTTTTTAATGCATATTCCTTAGAATGTTATGTCAAATTACTTCTTGTTTGTAGTCTACCAAATTTCTATACAATTCTGCAAAGGAATGCTCTTTTGTTATTAGTTGTTACAGTCCGAAAATTATTGAACTTACTCTTAAAGTATACGAGTATGAATTTTTATCCTTTACTTTTGATTAATATCCTTTTAAATGAAACGAATATTAATCAAAATTAAAAGATAAAAATCATGACTCATGCACTTTAAGGAGTATTTGTCTCCTCTTCCGCGTAATTATCTGGAGCTTATGGAGATTTTTTCAATTGAGAGTGAAGCCCCTTAAACCTTGTTATTTTAGATCGAAGTAAAATTTACGATGATCATTATTTTCTCTCACAATTAAACACCCAAAAAAATCTGCTTGTACAGGCCAAATTCATCATATGCTTTGGAGGTTAAATAAATTTTCTGCTCCTTTTCCATTCCCATTTCAATTGGAGACAGTAAAAAATCTTCAAACATATGATATCTAGTAAAGAACGTAAATAGCATGTAATAAAAGTAAATTAGGCAAACCAAATAAATATAGCAAGTTTCAAAGGAAATACGGGGGATTGGGAACAACTTCTTGGTTCAAAATATCCTTCTTAATAAAAGTAACACCTAAAAGACAAAAAAAGTACTAGTACAATTTATATTAACGAGAAAAAGGACAACTTTATTTCTGCAGTTACACCTGCCCTAATGCATGGACAACCCAATATTATAGCACCTTCTCCTTAGTTGATCTTGATCTCCATATTAATTCTTCATTTTCCACCACGCAACCACCGTACTTTTTTCTGAATCCCCTCGGTCCATGAACATATTTACCAGAAAATTAAGCAACAAAATAAACAAGCAAATAACGACATTAAAAAGACCCAAAAATAAAAAAATAAAAAAAACATAAAATTTGGTAGAGAGAGCCATATACATATAAACTCGAGACGTGCACGCATGTTTTTGCATGCATGCATGCAAAAATGCAGATACGTATACATTCAAAATGACCCTGCAAATCCTTTCATTGTTTTTGTTTATCAACCGATTGACCTCTCAATCATCTCGTTGTAGCGACGGTCAATGGAATTCAAGCGCTGAAGCCTCATCTGCTCGTAGAATTGAGCGATGAATTCCTCAGCCTTGACATCAATCATCTCATCCCCACCATTCTCGTCGTACCTGTACCCGCACTCGCGCTCCTCCTCTTCCTCCTCGCAGCTCGAATCGAGATCCCGGAGATTCACCGCCGACGTATACCGGCTCTCGAGATCCTGGAGGTTCCCCACCGAGGCGTAGCTGCTCATGCCGTCATGTCCGGACGACGCAGACGACGAGTAAGAGGAAGAGGCCGCGGGAGACATCGGCTGCTGCAATATCGACGTGATATTACTAATTACGTCGTCGTTTCGTTGGTCCTGAACCTCAGGAATAATAGAATTTTTCGGGTTATGCGAACTATTTTGGCGCGGAGAGCCGTTGTTCTGGAGGTGCAAAGGGCGGATGGACCCCACAAGGCGGTTCCACATCCCCCGCGACGCCACCACGTTGACGGAGTTGGCCTTTCCGGAACGACGTCGGAGCATGAAAAGTGCAACCTTGATCAGCTGCATCGCCCCACGCCTCTTCTTCTTGGCCGTCGCCACCTCCGGAGGAGGAGGAGTATTCTTGTCGGCAACGGGAATTTTCCTGGCGATTGATAGGCTTGCATGATTATTGTCTGATTTTTGTTCTTCCATTGATAAATTGTATAGAGAGAGAGAGATTGATAGATAGATATAGAGAGGCTCTTTAGGTGAATTTGTGTTTTTAGGCAAGGCTCCCCCTGCTGCGGAGCAGGGCGAGATGTGAGGGGGGAAAAACTTTGGAGGGGAAATTGGGAGTAACAAGTATTTATATACGAAGAGTTGGAACCACATGAAAATTTTCTATAAATTGTCATTTATGGCCAGCGCAAATTAATGTGATTCTAACATTATTAGTTTTAAATGTGTTAGGTTGGCAGTTCTTTGTATATTTTTCAACCATAAACCCGCGTTTGGGTCTAGAATATGGTTGATGGTTTACTACCATTACAGTTTGACAGAATTAGTGACTAAAATTTGCATTTAACAATTACTAAACTTGTAAGTAAACTAGTGATCACTAAAATTTACAGTGATCACTAGTTTCTCTGACCCATTGGTCTACTAGCTAGGAGTTCAATTCCAGTACTCTACCTTACTGACCCGTTCTATTTTTTCTTAATTATTATGTTGGCTTTTTATGAGCCCATGAAAAAATGTTATGGAAGGTGGGGGACTTTTGTTCGAAATTCCTTTGAATTGGTGCATACATGTTTCTGGACACATGAGATCAAATCACAATCATATAATTTGATGTCATTATTATTATTATTATTATTATTATTATTATTGTTGTTGTTATTGTTGTTGTTGTTGTTGTTATTATTTTGCCTTTTTGAAAATATCATTGGAATTAATCATTGTGTAAGGGAGGAAGATATTTGGTTGGCCAAAGGGAGTGTTATGAGTGTTGATGGGGTAAATAATGAGAAATTGCCAATGATTTAGTGGGAGTAGAGAACGAGGAGGCGGTATTTCAGGCAAACAAATCGGTTAGCCATGGAAGAAGCAGCTGTAATTTGGAGGAGACTTCATTGAATCTAACGGCTATTGTTTATTTGAGACGCTCATTTAATTGAATTAGTCCGTTACTCGGGTGACTTTATTTGCACGTTTCGTTTTGCCAATCACTTTATTATTATTATTATTATTTTGTGATCAATCAATATGGTTATATTATATATAATTAAATCACATAAAGTCATAATAAAAATTTGAGGGTTTAAAACCATATGATATTAATAGGGATTCGACTCCTATCCTTTTGTTATTGTCCATTTTCATATTCCTTCAGTAATACTAAATTCCACATTAACGAAAATTGTATATTATGTGATTTAAGAAAATCATGCCAGTAAATATTTTAAGTGAATTGACATAACATTATTTAAGACACGCAAAAGGAAGCATAAAAATGGAACATATGAGTTAAATCTTACTAATAAAGATTTATTTATTTTCCTTATATATGTAACTCTCCAATTAATTATTCAGGGAAAAAAAAAAAAAAAAAAAGGGGCATGACCGTCCCCAAAAAACATAGGTCCATGGGCAATATAATCGGTAAGGGTGGTGAGGTCCGCCACCAATTTGACAACTCTTTTTCCCGTCATTTTATTGGTTATAAATTATAATGGTACCCACTTTTTTCTTTATTTCTTTTTCTTCCATGTCATTATCATTATTATTATTATTATTATTATTTTGCTAAAATGGGTCCCATTGTAAATATCTCACATCATCTGATCACTGAAACGTTGACGGGAATCCGTACATTCTGCTCCTTGCGCTTATTATTTGCAAGTAAAATGAGGGCTTCAAATTGTATAATTCACTACTGGAAGCAACTTCTGTTTTAAAGCAATTGCCAGGTGTGAAAAAGTTGTAAACATTTTGTCACAACGTTCAAGCAAAGGCTGTTTTACGGTGACATTTAATGGTGATCTCTCCTCTGTTGCATGCATGTATATAGCTGTTTGAACTCCATACTAGTATGGAACATTTTCATTGCCTCTGAACATTCTATGTACCCAAATTATTAATTTGAGCTGATATAATATTTAACATAACATAATTTTGGCTGCTAATAAGTGTTTGGTAATTCTTGTTGCTTTTTTCTCATGTTGCTATATTAGTGGCGTAGCCACTTGAAGATGAGCGAGGGCAACCTACTTAAATTTTTTTTTTTTTAAAATATTACTTTTCAAAATTTTAAAATTTTACACTTAAATTCACACTAAAATAATATATGCTCATATTAAAAGAAATATATTTTCTTATATGTTCCTACTAAGATAATTTGTTAAAAAAAATTTAATGTACGCTCTCACTGAAGTGAAAGGCTAGCTCTGCCACTGGCTATATATATATATATATACCTTTTGTCTAAAATAAATCCATTTTGGGTCAGCTAGCTAGCGCAGCATTAATTCTAGAACGATCAAGGAATAAACCACCCCATTTTTTGAAGAAAGAAGCAACAAAACCACGAGTAGTACTATATAGGTTTTCCTTAATTAAACCATTATATTATTTAATTTGGAAGGATATGAGTTATTATAGTTTGTATTATGATTTACGCAAGGGAAAGACAAACACAACCTTGAATTGTGGGCGATGTGCTGTTTTGTAATATTGTTTGTTGTTTATAACTTTGTTATTATTGTTTTTCTTTTTAGGTACGTAATTGCTAAGATTCAGTACTTTCATAAACACATGATCATGATCTAGATCACAAAAGGCAAACTTTGTCTGCTAGCTATATTGCTAAACTTGACGCTGGAGATCAAATGAAAATTAGACCATTAATATAGATTATAGAACTAAGAACAGCAATATTGGAAAGGGCATATATTTTAATTAGAAGTACGTACGTAGTATAGTAACTGCCAGCTAGTTTACTTGACATAGAGAGTTTTCTTGCTATTCATTCTTACTTTGTGCTGGGGTTTGTTGTCTTACTTCAACTTCACTTTTTCATACCCCAAAAAAGAAAAAAGAAAAAAGAGAAAAACTTCACTTTAATCACAAAAGCTAAGTTTGAACTTCTGGAAATTTTCTTAATTCAATAATTTAGAGTGCTACAAGCTTTGAGGAAGCTGGCAAGAACTATAGCAAGTTGTGATGTGACTTCTCCAAAAAAATTAAAAAAATAAATAATAAAAAAAATTGTAGGGCTGCACAAATGTGAAAGAAAAGGCAACTATATATACAAAAAATTTATCTGGTATGACTAGAAAACATAACTTATAGGCAGTTTTCTAATTTTTAGCCGTCAAATTTATATCAAAAATTGTGTATTTTACATATTTGTTTAATGTAATTCAAAATTGGTACTACCAGTAGGGAGGCCTAAGGAGAAAGTCTCATATATGTACAAAGGGCAATTTAAAAAATTATCCCTATTTTGGGTGAAAATTAGTTGTTGTAGGACCAATAAATAATCCCACAAAATTATGGCTGTGTGCAAACCCACAGCCATGGACGGTTTATGTACAATTGATTATTTTATTGTTTATTTAAATGTATGGATACCAAAAATGGGCAAAAATAATAATTATTCGAGAATCAAAACCAAGTATATAAATAAAATCGGCTGTTTAATTAATGCAAGGAAAAAAAATAAAAAAAAACAAGAAAGCTTCCAGCAATAATTACCATGAAATGCTTGACAAAGATTTTTTTTTAAGGCCTTGTTTTCTGTATAAGACAAAAGCGTTTCTGTTGACTCACTGAACCGCAAGGAACCTACAATTTGCAAGTCAAAATCTTGAATCTTATACATAAAACCCCCAATGATTTGCTAAAAGTTAAAATATATTATTATAACTTTGATCTTATTTCCGAGAAACTCATGCATCAATCGTGACGCGGCGTCCACGATTTCTTAAACCCAATAAATTTAACTAAAAGTTGAGCTCCGTTTAAAAGTTGAGCTCCGTTTATTTCGCTGATTCGAAGTTTAGAATTTGAGTTTTTTTACAGTAAAAAATTCTTACAAACAATCACATTTAATTTTTTTACTACAGTAAAAAGCTCTCATATAAAATCACATTTTAACTCAAATTTTAAACTCAAATCAGCAAAATGAACGAAACTATTTTTGTGGTTGCAATTTAACCATCTAGCAAAAACTTCGGGGAAAAAAAAAAAACAATACAGCAAATTAAAAGAAAAAAAAAACCCCCAGAAACAGGAGTCACCAAAAACCAACACTGTTCTCCCATTGACCTTACTTCGTCAATTCCCAAATCTTAACAATCTTATTTATGCCCTAATATTTCTTTGATGATTTTCTACGACATCAAATATCAATTTCATTATGTCATAGAGATTCACAAGACAATATTAATATCAAGAGTACTTCTAGAAACACATATTGAACAAAAAATATTATTGGTACAGCTTCTTAAACACGGTTTAGGAGGTCTGGGCAACTGCAGACAACTCTAATTTAATGACCACCAGAAAGAACTTTTCAAACTGACCCCTCTTGCCTTCTCATTGTGAATTTTAATTTTATATAAAATAATAAAAATAAGCAAACTTCTTTTTTAATTTTTAATTTTTGTCTTTGCGTCTAATTATTACAGTCCGGCAGAAGCCCAAGTAAACTCCGAAGTAGCGTTGATTTCGTGTGAGTTGTACTACTGCCGAACCTTCCTTGTGGCTGCTTCTTCACTTTAATTTTTAGTGTATTTCCCAAAATAACCTTTTCTGCCAAAGTACAGCTGGACCCATTTTTATTATTTGTTTATTTCAGAGGTATATTATGACCATTGCCAATTATGTATTATTATTGCTATTCATGAGTTATTGGAAGATATTGTATTATGGGTATTATAATGGCCTCGTTCATTTCACCGATTTGAGTTTTTAATTTTAAATTTTTACAGTAAAAAATTCTCAGAAAATGTCATATTTAACTTTTTCTGTTATAGTAAAAAATTCTCTGAAAATGTCACATCTCAGCTCGAATTGAAAACTCGAATCCGCGAAGTAAACAAAGCCAATTAGTACTTCTTTCTTTGTTTTGATTTTTCTTATCAATATTCAACTTTTTTTTTCTTTGGTGGGGTCGGAACCTGGAACTTGGAACTTGAAGGTTGGGGCCAACCACAAAAGAGAGAAGAAAAAAAAAAGTTTTATTGGTGAAGAGAAAAATATCATCAATTATAGAGAAGTCCAAAAGAAAGTTTGTACAAGATGATCATAAGATTGAATTCAAAATAAAAAATTAATTATTTGATAAACAATTATATAAAGTTTGTTACATCTTTATGGAAGAAGAAAGGTCCATGACTCCATGTTTGCTTTTATACTTATAATTGTTTGTTTTTCCTTGAAAAGAAGCTTCTTTTTCCTTTCTTTTCTTTTTTTTTTTTCTTTTGCCTTCAGCCTTTTCTTCTCTAGGAGTCCTGGAAAAAGTGCGAATCAATTAAAATCGTGTTATTGTACTTAAAATTTACACCAAAAAAAGCATGCCTAGGTTACTTACGAGTTATAATTCCAGACCAATTATATCATATTGTCAGAGATACATGTTTTGCATGTACATCCACTTACAGAATTAGAAAACACATTAATATTTGTTCAAGTTTGAGAACTCAATATTGATCTTTTAGAAACTATTCCTCTAAAGCTCCCCATTTATATATAAATAATTATAATCTTGGTGCAATATATATATATATATGTATATGTATATATAATTCAAATTTTAGTGCAATTTATTACTCTCATATATAATCTTTTATTTGTTCATAGAATTCTCAAAAATAAGATATCACTTATAGAGCAAAGTTTCAATTTTTTTAATATACAAATTTCAAATTTTTTTCCTCTTGTGAATGTATATCCTTGTTTTTCTTCGAGTCTTCCTGCTCCCATATGAATTCTCAACCACTTTCTAAAAGCATTTTTAAGGCTTAGTTTGGTAGTGTTGTAGATTTTGAAAAAATTACTTTTAGCTATGTTGAAAAAAGAAGCAGCTGTTACAAAAAATAGTTGAATGTTTGGTAAACTATAATTATAATAGTTGTGCTGGTTCTAAAATCAGTGTAATAGCATTTGATAAATTATAAGGTTGAATTGTTGTAGATAATTAAAAATTACGACTATATTATATTATACTATAATATATTATATATAATTACAATATAATATATGTTTATTATTATATTTAATATAATAAAAAAACTATTACTATATAAT